TACACTGTAACAACTTCAAATAATGATACATATATTTCCAATTACAAACGTATGGTCAAAAGATGGCTTTCAAGGCACTTGAAGTAATTATTTTTCTGTGTGAGGGGTTAACATCAGTCTTACACAAGGCTCAGGGTATTTTTGTTTTGTTTTGGTTTTATTTATTTATTTTTCCAGTTTCTAGTGAAGGCTTTTCTTCTTTTATTGTGGTAAACAACACAAAGTTTACCATTTTTATGCATATAGTTTAGGAGTCTTAAGAATATGCATGTTGTTATGCAACAGATCTCCATAACTTTTTCATTTTGCAACAGTGAAACTTGATATTCATTAAACACTGATTCCCCTTCCTGCCACTGAGCAGCCCTTTCTTGTTTTCTGTTTCTATAATTTTGACCACTTAGATATTCGATGAGTGGAGCCATACAGTATTTGTCCTTGTACAAGTGGCTTATTTTGCTTGGTGTAATGTCCAATACAGTCATCCACACTGCAGCAAGTCACAGGACTTTTTTTTTTTAATGGCTGAAGAATATTCTATTATACATATAGAGTGCATTTTCTTTATCTGTTCATGTGTCAGACATTTGAGTTGCTTCCACCTCTGGGCTACTATGATGAACACGGGTATGCAACTATCTTTTCAAGATCCTGCTTTGAATTGTTTTCGATATTTAATTATCTTTTTAAATGATATAAAACATTTTCATGGGTCCAAGCACAAAACAAGGTATTTTAGGAGACATCTACTCTACTTTCATCCCTGTACATCACTCCCTTCACTGGTAACCACGTTAATGAGTTTCTCCCTTCGTTGTTGCTTTTGGACACCTATGCCAGTCACACACGCTAACATACACATGTGCCTCCTCTATAACATTCTTATAGTAATGATTTAGTCCTGAACTTTGGTTTTTAGCATTTCATATACCTCAGACATGCTGCTGAGTGGACATCCTTCTCATCCCCTCTGATAGCTATAGAGTACTTCACTAGATCAATGAACCATATTATTCACTCAGTCCGCTATTATGAATGCCTGAATTGTTTCCAGTCTTCTACCATAAATTACACCACAATAAATGCCTTTGTGTACATGCTGCTTCTTATTTTTATTCATATATCTTTGTGATAAATTCCTAGATGTGAGTCTGTTCAGTTGAGGCAAAGTGCATAGGTAGGGAGCCAGCAGGTGGCATGGTAGTTAAGGTGTTGGATCCCACATGGCCGACTTTATGGTTTGAGTCCCAGACCTGGTGGCTTGAAAATCATTTGTGAGGGACCAGCAGTAAGCGTAATGGCTATGTTGCTGGACTCCCATGTAGTAGACTGCGGTTCGCGTCCCGGATCTGGTGGCTTAAAACTCACGCCAGGTGCATGTGCGTGCATGGCCAAGATCCTGAGAGGAGAATAGAGAAGGGATTGAAGGGATTGCAGCGTGGCTATCCCCCCCGGGGGGTGATTTCTTGCTTTCTCTATGTCTCTGTCTGTCTGGCGAGGGCACATGCCCTATAGCAAAAATCTCTCAAAAAAAAAAAAAAATTGTGAACATACTCCAAATCCCAGCAGGAGAACGAAGAAGAAGGGGTTGAGGTGTGGCCAATCTCCTGAGGGGAGGGTGATTTCTCATTTCCCTCTCTCTGTCTCTCTCTGGGGAACATACATGTCCTATGGCAAAAATCTAAAAAATGTAAAATAAATTAAAAAAACCTTCACAGGTAGTTTTGCTGTATCTTGGCAAATGCTCTGCCCTGGGAGTAACACATGCTGTAGCCTTACCACCAGGATAAGAGGACTGGTTTCCCTCAGTCTTGCCATCAGAGTAGTGATGTTACCCGACTTTTGGATTTTTGTCAATCTATCCATGGGACTTGGTCTTGTGACAGTTTTAAAATGAATTTTTCTTATGGGAGTGAGGCTAATATCTTTTCCTAGGTTTGGAGCAATACATTTCTATTTCCCCTGAATTGTAAATAGCTTTTTCTCATTTTTTTCTATCAGATCGTGGCACTTCTTCTTCTCAATTTTTAGACTCCTTATATATGTATGTGTCTGTAATATAATCTTCTTATAGTGTCATTGGGGGTTGTTCTATCATAGAGATTTTTTTCCTTGGAGACAGTCAACTGCATCATCCCTCCCCCCCACCCCGATTTCTTCTGGATTCTGAGTCATAGTCTGTGAACTTATTCCTTTCGCACGGTGATAGCAATTAATCCATGTTTTCATCTTCAGTTACATTTTAGACTGTTAATTTATTTTCAACCAAGACTGTGGCAATTTCCATCCAGGGAGAACAAAACAGATTTGCAAAACTTTGAATTCCAACATCCTAAAAAGAACTTTTTGATTTTTGGAAAAAGCTTCTCCTCTTACTCATTGGATGCAGGGAAATACCATCTCTTAGAGGCAACACACATGCCGTACTGTTTAGAGTATCACAGTCATTTTGGACATAGTTAAGATTTCATTTCACTTCACCTGGAGGTTATCTCTTAGGCCATTCTGTGCCACCTCATCCTAGTCCTCAAAGTTACAAAGCAAAGTCAAACCACAGGCAAACTCTAATCATGCCTCCCCACACAGACAACCATCTGTCACCTAATGTGCCCAATATTAGTTTGCCCCTGAACTGTGCTCACACAGTCTTTCCATTTCAATGAAAACAAACAAACAAACACTTCAGTTATTCCCAAGGAAAAGGTTCAACAGGACATACTTCTATAGCTAAGGGTTCCAAGATTCATAGCTTGAAATAGATGACTGTCTAATTTTGCCACCTTTATGGCGACATTCTGGAAAGAAAAAATGAAACATGAATACTCACGAAACATGGTATAAAACTGCTGAGGGTTCAGATTCCATTTTCCCCAGGGGGTCTTGTGGCCTTTAGACTGGGCATAATTAGCATGGTTAAACTCTGGCTCAGTACCAAAGGAGTCGAGGACTCGAAGCATGCACCTGAAAGAAAAAAATGATGATATAAGACTACAAGCTTGGCCCCAAAGTCCAAAAGGTACAGGCTCTAATCCTTTCTTCAGACACTACCCTTGTCCCAACCCGCAAGATAGTTGAACAGGTTTCCTGGGGGAGGGAGTGAGAGATGGGACAAACACACGCACACACACACAGAGTGGAGACAATACGAGGTACTGATCAAGTCTTCCGGTTATTGAGGAAAAATGCCGAGTTATATACAGGCTGGTGGGCACCAATTGGTTGCCCGAAATGCAAATGAGATAGAACAGTATGAACAAATCATTGGTGTGGGTGAATCTTTCCCATTGCCTAGAAACCCAACCGCCCCACGGGGAGAACAGTTGGTCACATGATTTCTGAGAAACCGTTTGCTCAGTGAGGAAGTGAAGCCTAATGGTTTCCAAGAAGTGGATAGCTCAAGATGGTGGATAGGTCAAGGTGGCTTCTGTATGCAGTGCCCTCCACGTACTCCAAATGGACAGATCCTTTTAATTACAAAACTACTGGGAAGGCATGAATTGGTCTTGGAATAGCTTCTATACCAAATACCAGCATGTGTGACTGTACAGCCCAAGCCCTGACAGCAAACTGGATTTGTTTTAGAGCTGGGTTCCTGGTAGGAAGTTAACTGCTGAAAACCTGGACTTCGTACAACACTTAGATATAAGGTATACGATGTTGGGCTCTTCAGGATGGAACACAAGGAGACCCTATAATCTCTCAGAAATAATTCTAACATACTTTTATTTGAGGCTTTGGCTCAGCAGTTGCTTATTTTCTAGCTTATCTAGGTTTGTTTTATAATCCAAAGGCAGGAGACTGATCTTTGCCTATGGCATGGCACATTTAACATGACAGAATTTGCTCTACAATCACATTCAACATCTATGTGTTCTGGAACTGTGTTCTTGTTACTAGTTACGCCATCCATCTAATGTTTCACGTCTAACTGGGACACCAGGAGCAGACTGACTTAAAGATCTTTGTCTGGATGCTCGGGACAGCTGGCTTTCCCCTAACTGGCAGTGCAGCAGCAATTTCAAATGACTCTCAGTCACATGTTAGATGGATGCTCACATGCTCCTTGCTAGGACCTACTTTCTAATCTGGACTTTGATGTAAAACATGGCAAATTGGGATTGTTTGTATCTTACTCTTTTGTAAGCCCTCAATGCTCAGCAAAGGCCACATATGAAGTCATGTGAGCCAAGTTTTGCAGAGCAATAGTCCTAGGAAAGCATTTCATAAATGTTGCACTGACTTTCCTGGATCCCCATATAAATTGAACAGAATTTACAAATATTTTTCCAGAATCAACAGGCCTCATGGGTTTGCTCTTTCCTTTTCTTTCTTGAGAGAGAGATTTTTGCTATAGAGCACATGGGGGAGACAGAGAGAGACAGAAAGTGAGAAATCATCCCCCAGGGAGGATGGCCACGCCACAGTCTTCTCCTCCATTGGACACACAAGCACACAAGCCCAGTGTAAGTTTCAAGCTGCCAGGTCAGGGAATAGAACTGTAGTTGGTCATGTGGGAGTCTAGTGACATAATCATTATGCCATTTGTTGGTCCCACAGGTTTGCTCTTAACTGTAGCATTACATTTAGTGGAATACATGATATCAACCAACATGAATACAGAATTCTGACAATTTCTAATATTTTTTTGAGGGGAGGGATTATTAATATTATTATTTTTGTTATAGGGTATGTACACTTGCCAGAGAAACAGAGGAAGAAAGAGAGAAAGAGAGAGAGAGAGAGCGAGAGAGAGAGAGACAGAAATATACAAAGAATCACCTCTTAGGGGTTGGCCATGCCATGATCCCTTCTCCTCCAATTCTCCTCCTGTGATTTTGGGCACACATGCCTGGCATGAGTTTCAACCCACTGGGTCTGGGACTTGAACCCTGGTCGGTCATGTAGGAGTCCAGCACCTTAACTATTACACTACCTATGTTGGTCATGTGAATTTCTTTCCTTCCTTCCTTCCTTCCTTCCTTCTTTTTTTATTTAAGAGAGAGATTTTTGCTATAGGGTGTATGCAATCACTAAGTCTCTCTCTGTCTCTCCAGTAAGCCCATAAGCCCATGGCCCTATAGCAAAGCTCTTTCTCGCAAAAAAAAAAAAAAAAAAAAAAAAAAAAAAAAAAAACAGAGAGAAAGAGAGAGACAGAAAGCAAGAAATCATCCTCCAGGGAGAATAGCCATGCTGCGATCCCTTCTCTTCCATTCTCCATTCTCCTCTTGGAAAGACGGGCATGCACGTGCACACACACACACACACACACACACACACACACACACACTCGCACGCCTGGCATGAGTTTTAAGTCACTAGATCGAGGACTCAATCCTGGTAGGCCATGTGGGAGTTTAGCATTTCAACTACTACACCATCTCCTGGCCTGATAATTCCTAATTTAAAAAAAAGAGAGAGGGGAGAGAGACAGAGAGAAAGTGGGAACGTTCCCCTCCCCCCCCATCAGGCGATAGTCACACCACAATCCATTCTCCACCATTTTTCCCTCCTCCTTTTGGGATTTTGGGCAGTCATGCATACCTGCCCAGCATGTTTCCAAACCACCAGTTTCAGGAGTCAAAATATTTAGTTTGCCATGTGGGATTCAGCTGCCTTAACCATTCCACCACTAGTTGGCCCAACAATTTCTAATTTTTAAAAGGAGAAGTAAACAGGCAAGAACATTTCTAGGGGACCTGCTTAGCCATTTGATGGGATCTCAGCTGCAATGCACCATGAAGATTGCAGTGCTAAAGCACTAACAGACTTCCTGCCGGCTAACATCACTAACTGGGACAACTTATTAAAGAACAGCAGATAAACATTACACTCTTCCTGAAACTCCCTCTGAGATGCTGCCTTTTCATCCAACAAGAATCAAATACCAATCAACAGTGACCATTTTAATAACAAAATTGTTCTTTTTAATCAACCTAAAAGCTACCGCTGAGAATATTTTCCCATCTAAACAGCCCTTATAACGGCAAGGATATGTGAGCCTAGGGAAGCCTGACTGGCCAGTTGTGTTTGTGCGTTGTTCAGATGTCTGCCATTTATAAAATGCCACAAAACAACAGCTCTACCTTTCCTTCTTTGTTTAATGCTGTAACTAACAAAAAGAAAATGTTTACTCCATGGTGCATTAATCAAGAAGAAAGATGACTCTACACAACTGAGAACAAATGTGATGGTGTGTGATTCATGAAGATTTCAAGACCAAAAAAAAAAAAACCTTCCCAAAAGGAAAAACTTGATGCAAAAAGTTGAAATGCTATCCTAATCCAAATGAAAATTTTAATTTTGCTTTTTCTATGAAATGATACCCAAAGAAAATGAAACACCATAGTCTTTAATCAATTCCTTTCCTTGGTCTATACATGTTTCCATTGCCTAATGAGAAAAATCACTGCAGCTAAAAAGAAAATTATAAGGAAATTCTACAGACAATGGATAGGTTCACCTACTCTGTGTTTTTAAGATAATTCTTACTATTTTCAATTTTCATTTCTGTCTCATTATTTTCCAAAGTTTATTTGTTTCTTCCATGAGATAGAGACAAAACAAAACAAAACAAAACAAAACAGATGAAAGAAAAGAGCACTATGCCCAACGAGGTCCTTATACCACCATCTGCCCCCAATAGGGTCCTTACATTACCACTCACATCAACGGGGTCCTAACTCTGCATCCATCCTCAGTCCCAGGTTTGGATCATAAGCATCTACGCATGTCTGGCATACACAAGAGGCCCTAGGATATGAACTGAAGATCTTTCCCACATGGGTCTAGTTGTGTTACCACTGTGCCATGGATAATGCTGCCTAATTTCTATAGAACTAATAAGACATAATTTTGGAAATTAAAGTTGATAAATCTTAACCTGAAAGAGAATGACCTAATAAGATCACTAAGTGTCTTTTGCTTTTTTTTTTTAAGAGCACATCAAAACGTTATATTACCCAAAAATTACAGGAAGGAAACACAGAGATTTCCATGTCCTACTAACTGAAAGACCTTTAGAACATTCTCTAGAAATTGGTTCAAACTATAAGTCAACATTTATTATCAGATGGTACATTAACTACTCTTCATAATTTTTACCCAAACTCATGTACTATTTGTATAATTAAGATAGGCTTGCTATTTATTTATTTATTTATTCTGAAGAGATTTTTGCTATAGGACGTGTGCCCTTGTCAGAGAGACAGAGAGACAGAAAGCGAGAAATCACCCCCCAGAGGGAATGGCCATGCCACAATCCCTTCCCCTCTATTCTCCTCTCGGGATCTTGGGCATACATGCACACATGCCTGGCGTGAGTTTAAGCCACCGTGTCCAGGACTTGAACCATGGTTGACTAATGTGAGAGTCCAGCGATGTAGCCATTATGCCATCTGCTGGTCCAAGATATGATTTCTATTTAAGCTTATTCATTTTTCTTTCCTTTTTTTTTTTTTTTTTTTTTTTTTTTTTTTTTTTTTTTTTTTTTTAAGTGAGAAAGCACCCTCTGGGAGGGGATAGCAATGCCACAATCCCTTCCTCTCCATTCCTCTCTCAGGATTTTGTGCACGCATGCACACGTACCTGACATGTTCTTTAAACCTCTGGGTCCAGGACTTGAACTGTGCAGTTTGTCATGTGGGATCTAGCTGCCTTAACCACCATTCCACCAGCTAAGCCAAGCTCATTCACTTTTTAAAATTTATTTTTATAAGAAATTTAAAGACTATAAACAAAAGTCATAAAAGCCAGTACCACTACAATAAGCAGAAGAGGAAAAAAAAAAAAAAAAAGCACAGAATTCTTCTTAAAGAATAATTAAATTGGGGCAGGCAAGTGGCATGGTGGTTAAAGGCGCTAGACTCCCACATGGCCGACCATGGTTCAAGTCTCGGACCTGGTGGCTTGCTTGCTCATTTCCTACCTCTCTCTCTCTGTCTCTCTCAGATCAACCTGGAAAATAATAATGCTAATAATAATAAATAAAGTTAAATAAAAATAATTCTATAAAAAAAGAATAATTAAATTGAAATGGATGTTTTTTATTTTTTATCTTTAAGGCTAAGATTCACAGAAACTTCCACTTTGCTAAAAATTCATTCCAAGTGTTAAAGGAAGTGTTGGAGATAGGGCAAATGAAGCTTTTTCTTGGATTGAAAGAAAATTGAAAAATTAATAAATCTCATTATATAATTCAGTACCATGTTTGTGTGCCATGTAAAATTATTTCCAACACTAAATCATGGTCCCAAAGCCACACTTAGGGAAACACAGAACTGCTCTACTAAACAGTAAAGACTACACACAAAATATATTTGTACCATTATCCTACTAAGAATGGGCTTATCTTGCACAGTCCAAACTTCCAGTTTTAAGAAACAGTATTCCCAACTTTCTCTCCCCAGAATGACAAGAATGCTGAATAGAGAGAAGGGGAGAGCCATTGTCTCAAACCCAAGGACAAGAAATGACACTATCCATTTCTTAAGCAAAATCATTATTTGATTCAATGGATGACACTGGAATGTATTCAGGAAGGTAAAAAGGAGCTTGGAAGCTTGTTTTCTATTCTCCAGAAATCAATGAAAATAATGAATAGCCCTAGAAAGCAGAGAGTCACTGTGGAGAATCTAAATTTCAATTAGGAATGAACATAAACTCCACACAGTTCAAAATATAATATTTGATAAGCTTACTCTATCTACAACCATATAGCCCTCGTTAGGGAGGGAAAAAAAATGACTAAAAATTTCATTAAAAACAGAAAGTAGCACTTACTGGTAATGAACCCAGGATGGTCCAAGGGTTTTCTTGAATTGAGCAAGTCCAACAATATCAATATAAATGAGCTCGACGATTCTGTCTCCTACTGTTGGGCAGCCAGATCGGTTTCCCACAACCTTCTTCATTATCCTAGAGAGGACAGAAGAGACAGGGAGAAAAAGAAACCATTTACTGGAGCTGCTAAACTTGGCAACTTTCACAGGCAAACAACAACTTCCAAAGTCCTTATTAGAGATGACACGGCCCTTCTAAATTGCTGCATATCTATTGGGCTGTCAGAAAAGTCATGTCATGACTCAATCAATTTTTTCACCCACCAAGATCAACCCAGAGCCCTGATTTTGACTCTTACAAAAGAAATGTCAGTGTAAAAACATGGCCTTTGAAATCAAGGGAGGTGTGAGCCTCAATCTGCTTCCATTGCATACTAGCCACAAGGCCTTAGGCAAGTTACTTAACCTCCCAGTCTTTCTTTCCTCCTGGCTCCTGAAGAAGAAGAAGAAGAAGAAGAAGAAAAAAAGGACTGGGTATATAGCGGATCCTATCTCAATCTCTCAGGGAATCTCTGGGTGGTTAAATGAGCTGCTGGGTATGAAGTGCCTGATGTATACTCGATACTCAGAGACAACTGTCGGCTCGTCGGAAAAGTCACGATGTATATTTCTATGTGAAAACGTATCATGACTTTTCTGATGACCTAACAGTTTTCTCCAGAGCCTCTTCTTATTAGTTATTATCCTTACTGACATCTTCTTTCTCTAAGTGTCTTTAATTTCTACCTCTGCCTTTAATACCTTTCTACACCGTCTTGCACTGCTCCCTAATGTTTTCTCATATGTCCATTTTTTCCTTCTCACCAGACTGGAGTACACAACTGGCACTATGGCTTATACTTCTCATTACCTTTTCTTCTACTCACCTACCCACATACCCATCCGTATATTCAGACACATAAAGCCACCTTTGCATCCAGTAAGCCACAATCGACTTGACTGGTCCGCCACCTCCACCTGAGGGAATAAATATCCACCCACTGCTCTGCCGTTCACTTAGTCTATCGTGGCCTCTTATCCTACTCACTCCCACAATAATCTTTCACCATGCGGGCATCCTACTTCGAAGGACAAGAGTCACAAACAGGACTCTGCTCCACAGCTCTGAACTGCCACCGATTCGGCCACCCTGCTTCCTCTCTGCCAGGTTTTTGAAAGGCTAGGTTTCTTATACCTAGCTTCTTCCCAGGAGTCAGAAAACTTATTCTACAAAGGGTCATGGAGTAAATACCTCCATCATGCAGGCCATACATTCTGTTGCTACTATTCAACTCTGCCTTTGCAGAATGACAACTACCACAGGCAATATAAAAACCATGGGGATGGCTATGCTCCCAGGAAGGTCTATTTACAGAGCTGGCAGAGCGCTGGATTTAGTCAACTGGGCTAGTTTGCTGACCCCTGGTCAGCCCTGCGATCAGCGGCTCTCAAGCCTGCCTGTACACTGGGATCACCTAGAAGTATCCCAGATACATGTGGCTTCATCCTACCTCCAAAGCTTGTTTGTTGCTTAATTCACCTGGGATATGGTCTATGCTTTGGGATTTAAAAAACATACCCCAAACTAATGAATAAATAAAATAATCTTTAAGTGAGTCTATATGGAAGCATAGTTGGTAACCACTGATACACGCTGTTTCCACAAATACCTTCTTAAATAAAAGATATCTAGCTCTGTCCCCACTGGGCTGAGACTACTGTGGACTCTCCCTTGAACATCAAATTAAGTCTCTGCCTGATAAATCTCTAATAGGCCTTTCCTGTCCTTCCCAGGCAGGATTATCCTTGATACATCCACAGTACTCCATTCCTTTAGCCACCCACTGATTTACTCTCTTATTCAGTCCTTCACTTTTTTTTTTTTTTTGACTTCCATGAATCTTTTGATTTGTCTTTATTTCTTCAGTAGTTGTGGAGTCATTCAGGAGTAGGTTATTAAGTTTCCATGTATTTGAGTATTTTTGAGGATTTCTCTTGAAATTAAACTCAAGTTTAATTCCATCATGGTCGGTGAAGTTGCTGTATATAGTTTCTATGCTTTTCAATCTGTAGAGGCTTGCTTTGTGCCCAGTGATGTGGTCAATCTTCGAAAATGTTCCATGTGGCAGCGAGAAAAAAGTGTATCTCGAGGTTTTGGGATGGAAAGTTCTATAGACGTCTGTTAAGTCCATTAGATTTATGATATCGTTTAGATCTTTTATCTCTCTACTTATTTTTTGTCTAGATGATCTATCCAGAGGGGATAGTGCAGTGCTGAGGTCTCCAACATTAGTGTGTTGCAGTCTATCTCCCTTTTTAGATCTAGCAGTCTTTCCTTCACATATTTGGGTGCTCCTGTGTTAGG